GAGCACAAGGTGGAAAGCATGGCATGAAGAGGTTCTGCCAACTGGTTCTCCAACAGTAGCCGAACAGGTGCTTTTATGGGGTTGGGAAGGTATGGTGACTCCCTGTTGGCACAAAGCATTTTGGTCTGCACCTGGCTTAGTGTCCTGTGCAGAGGTGCTCTTGTGTTTTTGTTGTTGTTGTTGTTGTTTTTTGCACACAACACCCTCAAAATGGTGGCGTTACTACCACCACCCCAGGAAAGTCACCTATTGTTGCATGAGTTACAGGGGGCAGGTACAGGTTGAGGAAGTCCTTTAGCAGGGCAGCAGGGGTCGTCTGTGGTTAGGGATCTGATGCTCCTTGCTCCGATTGGTTTCAAGCTGGATATGGACACATGTCAGGTTGGGAGGGGCTTGACTGCATAGCCCCTGCTTCCATCCTGTCTCAGAAGGACTGTACTTAGAAAGAGGGAGCTTAAGCTAACAACTGAAAAATGACAGTTTGATTGGCTTCTGTCACTCAGCACCCAGGACCCTGGCAAGCAGATCTTGTCCCATGGCAAGAGACAGGAGGACTTTTCCTGGGGCATCTGACCTACTGAGGAGGAAGGACTAGAGACAGACTTCAGAGGTTCCCCCACAGCAGCTAACTCCACGATGAGACTCACAGTCAACGAGCTGTTGGGCACTCAGAAGCCTTAGGAGGCTGGTTAGGCCCCTACATGAAAATAAAAGCAGACAAAGACCACAGCCATCTAGGGAAAACCTCTCACCTTGCAGAGACAAAAATAACTGTATCTTGCAAAAAATAGAAACACTACAGGGAGAAGAAGTCTCCACAAAATTAGTAGTATCCTTAGAGAAATAAGAGAAAACATCACTAAGAGGAAACAAGGGTGGGACATCACATAAGAGAAAAATCCAGCAAAATACAATTTAATATTTGAAATTAAAGACTCAGTAAAATTAGAAAATAAAGTTATGAAAATGTCCCAAAAGTAGAGCAAAAAGAGATGAAATAACAGAAGAAAAAATGTATTTGTATTTTTAGCATTTTTTAATTCATTTAGAAGACAGGCAGAGAGAATCTTCTATACATTACTTCATTCCCCCAAAAGCCTGCAATAGTAAGGGCTGGACCAGGCCAACACCAGGACTCCATCCAGGTTTCCTACATGCAAATGCACTTGGGTCATCACTGGCTGCTTCCTGGGGTACAAATTAGCAGGAAGTTGGAGTCAGAAGCAGATCCAGGACTCAAATCCAGGCACTCCAATATGGAATGTAGGTGTCTCAAGTGGTATATTAACTGCAGCACCATACATTTTCTCCAGAAGAATATTAAAGAAAAATTTCCATGACCAGTCCAGGAAATCCAAGATGTGACTCATGGTTCTTGAAAGACAAGAATGTGGTGAAGAGATCAATAAAATAGAAAGGCAAGAGTACTTTCCAAAGTGAGAGACATGAGTTTACCAATGAATAGGATCCACTGGCACTGCAGCATGAAATCTCCCCACACTGGCTCTAACGGGAGAACTGGTTAGTTTCCAAAGAGTTTAAGAAAATGCTTTATGGTTTATTTTCTTTTTCTTTTTCTCTCTCTCTTTTTTTTTTCTTTTTTTTTTTGACAGGCAGAGTGGACAGTGAGAGAGAGAGACAGAGAGAAAGGTCTTCCTTTTGCCATTGGTTCACCCTCCAATGGCCGCCGCGGCCGGCGCACCACGCTGATCCAATGGCAGGAGCCAGGTGCTTCTCCTGGTCTCCCATGGGGTGCAGGGCCCAAGCACTTGGGCCATCCTCCACTGCACTCCCTGGCCACAGCAGAGAGCTGGCCTGGAAGAGGGGCAACCGGGACAGAATCCGGCGCCCCGACCGGGACTAGAACCCGGTGTGCTGGCACCGCAAGGTGGAGGATTAGCCTAGTGAGCCGCGGCGCCAGGCTGGGAAATTCTTAAAATCAGATTTTCCTGGTATTCATTTGTTCCAGATCACTGAAAAAGGAGAACTCTGAAAGGCCGGGAAGATTCTTAAATAAGGAATCAGAAAGGAGAGGACCTCTCAGCAACAGAAGCTGGAGACCAGAGGATGAAGCAGAAATGCATTCAAAATGTTCACCCACTCTATGGATCAAGTGTGCCGATAGTTTAAAAGCATTTAGGGGAAGTTTCAAAAATTGTATCTTTCATGTTTCCCTTCTCTGGAAGTTACCAAAGGATGTTTTCTACCAAAATAAGAGAGTAAAACCAAGGAAGAGAAAGCTGGGAGGTCTAGGAGAAAGGATTCAGTTCAAGAGTGTTTCCCAAACATGGAGCTCCTCAGGCACAAACCAGGGCAGGCCAGAGGCTCTGGGGAGGTCTCCAAGGAGACACAAGTGTAGACAACAGAGGGGACTCTAGAGCTACATCAGTAAACAAACACATATTCTCTTTCTTTCTCTCTCACACACACACACACACACACACACACACAGGAAAAGCAACAGAAGATAAGGAACTCCATCACTCTCGGTTCTGTGCTCAGAGCCTGTGGACACTGAATGTCCATCTCACAGAATCAGGATGTCGGAGGATGGGATTATGGGAGGAACACATGTGACTTCAAGAGGGAAGAGAAGTGGTAACCAGAGCTCACCAGCCAGTGTACTCTGGCAGAGTGCTCTGGTTAGGAAAGACAGCTGCCCAGCATCAGGATTCCACAGCCTCTGTGAAGCTCATTTCAGTCTATAAAGCTTTACTAAGCACTGGTGATGAAACCCTGATATTGAGACAGTATTATAAAGAATACATGTGTTTGGGGGCTACCATTGTGGTGCAGTGGGTTAAGCTGCGGCTTACAACAATGGCATTGTTGTGCCAGTTCAAGTCCCAGCTGCTCTGCTTCTAATTCAGCTTCCTGCTGATGGGCCTAGGAAGGCAAGAGAAGGTGGCCCAAGCACTTGGACCCCTGCCACCCATGTGGGAGATCTGGATGGAGTTCCTGGCCCAGAACTGGCTGTTGGAGTCACTTGAGGGGAGTGACTCAGCAGATAAATCTCTCAAGTTCCCCCAACCCTTTGCTGCCCAACAGCTATGCCTTTCAAACAAATAAATGTATCTTTAAAAAGAACACATGTATTTAGAGAAAAATTTCCATTTTAAGTAAGCGGGTAGTACAAAGTAGGCAAATGTGAAAATGTTTAATGGTAGACAATAATAAAGAACATATTATAGTAAGAATGAGACAGAGGAAAGACAGGCTAAGAAATGAAAAGAAAGCCACAGGGTCATAGACATTCCAGATGACACACAGGAGCCAACTGGCCAGCACTCCATTCTCCCTGCACCCAGACCACCTCCTTAAGCATTCGTGAAAGTACTCTCCCTGGCACTTCTGGCTGCAGCAACAACACCCTCTTCACAATAATGCTGTGGAGAGCTGCTACCAACCACATGGAGCTGAAATTCACCACCATTCCCAGCAGACACCGAGGGCCCCTGCTGAAGTTGATGACAGGCTAGAAATCGCACCTCAGGCACAATCTAAGCAGCTTAGACTACACCAAGGGGAGCAGCTTCTCTTGCAGTTATGGGCCCTTCAACTCTGGAGTGGATCCTGACACTCTCCTTGCCACCCAATGATCCAAGAACCCAAAGGACAAGTGGCATGCATTCCCAGAATGGGCAAGAAGACTGACTCGGGGGTGGCCTCTTCCTGAGCTCACTATAATTTGGAGGTTTCAAAATGAGTTATGTGAAAGACATAATTCTAAGGAGAAAGAAACAGAATTGCATGATGGTACTTACAGACTGAGCAACACCATCAGTGCCAGAAACTGGCAGGAAAAGCAAACAAGCTTCAAACAGAGGAGGCTGGTGGATGCTCGACCTTGAACACCGTCCTTACTGGCCGGGCAGTATGTGTCACCTTTCCTGACGTTATTACCGTTTTCAACACAGATTTCATTACAGGGCTGTGACACCTGCAGATCATACTTGAGAAAAGGCCGTCTCTTTTTCAGGTTGCCCTCACCAGAGGGCCAGATATGACCGGCACTCGGTTCCCCAGGCTTTGGACATGGCACGGCCAGTCAGGCAGGATCTCCAGGCCACCCTGGGGTTTCTAGGAAACCCACTGCTTATTCCTTCTCTTCTGTTTAATCTTGAGCCACTTCAAGGTTCCACCGTAAATAAGACTGCTAGAATAACTGATGTCATTTAACCACAGGGTTCTAAGTAAAAGACACTGAGTGAGAGACAAGACAGAATTTTCGAATATAGAAATAAAAGGGAATAACATTCCAGAGTTAATTTAGCAGGTTATAATTTAAAATAGAAGAAATCAACTGCAGGGAGACATAAAATCAGGTGCATTAACAGCTACCTCCAGATCTGTGGACTCCATGGCAGCCTTCAAAGTCTGGCCCTGGACTTCTGCGAGGAGCTCCTGCTATGCCAGAGGCCTCTGGGGGTACAGCTAGCACCACCCCCACTTCGACTCCCTGGCCCAGTCAGTGGATAGATTAGGACCCATTCACCTCCCAACTTTCTGCCATTCTAGTGGCTCCAGTGCAGCTGTTGCTATTTCCAATATAAAACTGCTTAGGCTGGTATAGTAATAATAATAAAGAAAACTGACAGGAAAATATTTTGTGGACCACACAAGTATATAATTTACTGTTCTGCTGCCAACAGTTCTCCAGCAGGTAGGAGACCTGTTTAACCCCATAAAACTAGGAGGAAAACAAACACCAACCCATAGAGAATCAACAGCCCCAATTTTGTCTACTTCATTTTATAAACCTGTTCACTTCACAAGAGAATCAGGAATGTGAAGGAAACGACATTCTGGAACAAAGCCCCAAACAGAGACACTGTTGATCAGGAAGGAAAAGCATAGCTCAGAGCCTGCAGGAGTCTTACTGTATAGATATTTTCTGATGAGAACATAGGTTTGAAATTAATAATAAAATATATCAATTCCTCCTTATAATTTTATTACAATCATTTCAATAAACAATTCAGGCAAACAAAAACTCTTACTTCACACAGCCATTCTTCTCATCATAATCCTTCTTCTCAGCCAGGCAAAGTGGTTTCTCATTTGGTTTCTGACTTGAAGCACTAGAAATCAAAAAGCATTGTTAAAAATTTGTGAACCTATTTGCCCCAATTTTGAAGATATCTTGGGGCTGGCGCTGTGCGCAGCAGGTTAACGCCCTGGCCTGAAGCGCCGGTATCTCATATGGGTGCTGGTTCTAGTCCCGGCTGCTCCTCTTCCAATCCAGCTCTCTGCTGTGGCCTGGGATAGCAGCAAAAGATGGCCCAAGCCCTTGGGCCCCTGCACCCACGTGGGAGACCTGGAAGAAGCTCCTGGCTCCTGGCTATGGATCAGTGCAGCTCTGGCCATTGCACCCAATTGGGGAGTGAACCATTGGATGGAAGACCTCTCTCTCTGCCTCTCCTCTCTCTGTGTGTAATTCTGACTTTCAAATAAATAAATAAATCTTCAAAAAAATATGAGAAAAACTACATCAAGACAAATAATAATTAAATTGCTCATACTGGTACTATCGATAAAATCTTAAAAGCACTCAGAAGAAGAGACATATGGCAAACAGAGGAACAGAGAAAAAGATGACAGACTTTGCACCAAGAATGATACAAGCAAGAAGGCAGAAGAGCAGTAAGTTTAAAATACAGCAAAGAAGGGACTGTCAATGTAGAATTCTAGACCAAGTGAAAATATTGTTTTCCAAAGTGAAACTACTAATTTTTTCAGACATACAAAGCTAAAAGAATTCATCACCAGCAGTTATCTGGTTTAGAGGCAAATGTTCCAACTTAACTACATACTAAGGCTACAGTGTAGTTAGTTAAATCTTTCTGAAAGATACCTGAGTGTTTAAATCAAAGTCATTTTCAAGACATACTAAAAGGCAGTCATAATCAAAACAGCTTGGTACTGGTACAAAAACAGATGGATAGACCAATGGAACAGAATAGAAATGCCAGAAATCAATCCAAGCATCTACAATCAACTTTATATTTGACCAAGGAGCTAAAACCAATCCCTGGAGCAAGGACAGTCTCTTCAACAAATGGTGCTGGGAAAACTAGATTTCCACATGCAGAAGCATTAAGCAGGACCCCTACCTAACACCTACACAAAAATCCACTCAACATGGGTTAAAGACCTAAATCTACGACCTGATAGCATCAAATTATTAGAGAATATTGGGGAAACCCTGCAAGACATTGGCACAGGCAAAGAGTTCTTGGAAATGACCCCAGAGGCACAGGCTATCAAAGCCAAAGTTAACAAATGGGATTACATCAAATTGAGACACTTCCTTACTGCAAAAGAAACACTCAGGAAAGTAAAGAGGCAACTGAATGGGAGAAATATTTGTGAACTATGCAACTGATAAAGGACTAATAACCAGAATATATTAACAGATCAAGAAACTCCACAACAACAAACAACCCAGTTAAAAAATGCACAAAGGACTTAAACAGACATTTGTCAAAAGAGGAAAAGAGACACACGCTCAGGATCACTAGTCATCAGGGAAATGCAAATCAAAACCCCAATGAGGTTTTACCTCACCCCAGTTAGAATGGCTTTCATACAGAAATCAACAAACAACAAATGCTGGTGAGGATGTGGGAGAAAAGGTACCCTAGTCCACTGTTGGTGGGAATGTAAATTGGTAAAGCCATTATGGAAGACAGTAGGGAGATATCATATGACCTAGCCATCCCACTCCTGGGAATTTACCCAAGGGAAATAAAATCAGCAAACAAAAGAGTTATCTGCTCCCCCATGTTTACTGCAGCTCAATTAACAATAGCAAAGACACGGAATCAACTTAAATGCCCATCAACTAAAGACTGGATAAAGAAATTATAGTATATGTACTCTATGGAATACTACACAACTGTAAAAACAAAAATGAAATCCAGTCATTTGCAACAAAATGGATGAGGTCCAAAAGGGACAAATACCATATATTCTCCCTGATCTGTGATAACTAACACAGCACCTAAAAGGAAATCTGTAGAAGGGAAATTGGTACTTTGAGAAGCAATGACTTGAACAGCACTTGTCTTGACTGTCAAGGAACATTTTTTTCTTTTCCTTAATGGATAATGGGACTGGGAATGGGGGGGGGGGGAGGAGGAGGAGGTGAGGTGGAAGGGCAGGTATGGTGGGAAGAGTCACTATATTCCTAAAGTCATACTTATGAAATTTGTACTCATTAAAGGTTTCTTTGGGAAAAAAATGTCATAATAGATTCTAGTATATAAATACATCACATGCCATCTACAGCATATAGTCCAGGAGGGGAAAAGTAGAACACTATCTTAAGTTCTTAGACTACAAAGGAAGTGGTATAGTGTGATGGCTTTTCTGTGGTTTCTTTAATGTTATGGACACATATCTTGATGAGACAAGTTTATAGTCAAAACCCTTGATACTCATCTTTAAGGAGATGACAATCCAGGCTTTGCTCCCCACTAACTCTTAACCCCCTAAGTAATCCTGCCCTCTGGTCTGTGTATACCCATGCTCCATACCCAGACCACCCCATGCTGGCCTTCACTGGACCTGCCTTACAGAAACTACTCTGTCCAACAAGGAAATAAGGTCATCTAGCACCCATTTTCATTGAGTTTTTGTTGCTAAGCAATCATCACATGATTTTTCCTTTACATTAATATATGTTCAATCAGATAGGCATATGGCCTAGTGGTTAAGACACCAGTTAGGAGGCTCATGTCCCACATCAGAGTGCCCAGATTCCATTCCTAGCCTCAGCTCCCAATTCCAGTTTCCTGACAATGCAGACGTTAGGAGGCAGCATGATGTGAGCTGGGTTCCTGCCTGCTACACCGGAGACTTGAGTTGAGTTCTGGGTACCTGGTTTCAGCCTGGCTCAGTCCTGGTCATTGCAGGTATTTTGGGTGGGAACCAGTGGATTGGAGCTGTCTATCTCATTCCTTGTCTCTCTGCCTATATATGTATGTGTACCATTTATAAATAAATGTGAGATTATTTATTTTAAGGGCAGAGTAACAGAGACAACTAGAGACAGAGATTGTCTAGCCCAGGTCCACCTCCCAGAGGCCTGCAACAAGCATGGTTGAGTCAGGGTGAAGCCACCAGGAATGCCATCCAGGTCTCCCACATGGATGGCAGGGGCCCAGGCACTTGGGCCATCATCTGCTGCCTTCCCATGAACATTAGCAGGGAACTGGATTGGAAACAAAGCAGCTGGAACTCAAACTGGCATTCCAATTCGGGATATGGGTGTCTCAAGTGGTGACTTAACCTGTTGTGCCACAACACTAGTCCCTTCATATCCCTGGGTTTTAATCTGTTTAATCTCTGGGTTTATTAAATCTGTGGGTTCAAGAAACCACACATCGAAAAATGCTCAGATGGGGCTGGCGTTGTGATGTAGTGGATAAAGCCACAGCCTGTGACACTGGCATCCCACATCTGTACTGGTTCGAGTCCCAGCTGCTCCACTTCCAATCTAGCTCCCTGCTAATACACCTGGGAAAGCAGCAGAGGATGGCCCAAGTACTTGGGCCCCTGGTACCCATGTGGGAGACCTGGAAGAAGCTCCTGGTTTCGGTATGGCCCAACTCCAGCCACTGTGGCCACTTGGAGAGTGAACTGGCAGATAGAAGATCTCCCTCTCTCCCTCTCTCTCTGTAACTCTGAATTTCAAATAAAGGGAGGAGAGAATTTCCACTTCTGACTATGACCTTGTCTGAATAAGATTGAAGTCGGCGAACTCAAAAGGCTTCCATAGCCCTGGCAACTCATGACTAGAGCCTAGAGAGAATACTGACTCCATAAACAAGAGTGTCAAATTGTTAAGTCAACAGCAGGAGTCACTGTGTACTTACTCCTCATGTGGGATCTCTGTCCTTAATGTGCTGTCCAATGTGAATTAAAGCTATAACTAGTACTGAAACAGTATTTTACACTTTATGTTCTGTGTGGGTGCAAACTGATGATATCTTTACTTAATATATACTAAATCGATCTTCTGTATAGAAAGATAATTGAAAATGAATCTTGATGTGAATGTAATGGGAGAGGGAGCAGGAGATGGGAGGGGTGCGAGTGGGAGGGAAGTTATGAGGGGGGGAAGCCATTGTAATCCATAAACTGTACTTTGGAAATTTATATTTACTAAATAAAAGTTAAAAAAATACTCAGAAAAAAATCTATGTCTGCACTGAACATGTGCAGATGCCTTTCCCTGTGATTATGCCCCAAACAATACAGTCTAATGACTACTGGCATAGCAGCCACGCTGTACTAGTCACAGAAGTAATCTAGAGATGATTTAGCACATGGAAATGTGCATGGGTCACACAAGAGACTCGAGTGTCTGTAGACTTTGGTTTCATGGAAACAGTCTCCCACAGAGAAGACAACATTACACTACAGGCTCTACCCAATTATGCTGAATTTTTAAATCATACCTTGTTGCTGGGATATCTGGGTCGGCATATATGGTTATTCCTCTTTTTGTTGGCCAGTATGCTGAAGATTCAATACACTTCAATAAGAAAAAAAAAAGTATGTCAGCAACATACAGATATAGACATTTCTTTTTAAATAAAAATCCATGGGAATTATTCTCAAGAGGAACCAGTCCAGGTAATTTTCATATACAAAACAATCTGCTGAGACAAAGAACGCAAAGGCAGATGATTACAGGTTACACCCCTGCTGGAGTCACTAGACGGAAGAGAAGGCAGCTTTACAATGTCCCATAATGATACTCACCATTCTCGCCAAAACTACTGCAGGGCAGTTAGAACTGAAATAAACTTTTTTAAATAAAAGATTAATTTACTTAGTTGAAAGGCAGAGTTAAAGGGACAAAGGGAGAAGGTGGGAGAGAAAGACATTGATCTTCCATCCACTGGTTCACTCCCCTAATATAGCTCAACTTCCAGGACTGGGCCAGCCCAAAGGCAGGAGCCTGGAACTCCATCTAGATTTCCCACACAGGGCCCAAGGGAGGGGCCCAAGGACTTGGGCCATCCTTTTGCTGCTTTCCTAGGCATATGAGCGGGAGCTGGACTGGAAGCGGAACAACAGGAACTAGAACTTGTACCCCTATGAGATGCTGCTGCTGAAGGCAGCAGCTTAACTGGCTGAGCCACAATACCAGCCCTGCAACAAACTATTAAGAGTGTCCCAGAATGCCAGGTTTTCACAGTCCTAAATGAGAACACCTAATTTTGCAGAGGCCATTAGTCCCATAAACAAGAGCTTGGTAGGAGGGGAGCTGGAGCTCTTTCAAAGTAACCAAACATGTAAAGTCTGGTTTCATAAACAAAACTATTGTAGCCAAGGATTTTTCTAATAGAAACCATGTTTTTGGTTCCTAATAGACTCTAAAGAATATTATTAACATTTTGCAAATTGTGTATAAAATGAGCATTTTAAAAACACAATTTTATTGGGCCAGCACTGTGGTGTAGCGGGTTAAGCTGCCGCCTGCAGTACCGGCATCCCATATGGGTGCCAGTTCGAGTCACAGCTGCTCCACTTCTGATCCAGCTCTCTGCTATGGCCTGGGAAAACAGTAGAAGATGGCCCAAGTCCTTGGGCCCCTGCACCCACGTGGGAGACCCAGAAAAAGCTCCTGGTTCCTGGCTTCAGATCAGCCCAGCTCCAGCCACTGCGGCCAGCTGGGGAGTAAACCAGCAGGTGGAAGACCTCCCTCTTTCTCTCTCTCTCTCTCTCTCTCTCTCTGCGTCTCCTTCTGTGTAACATTGACTTTCAAATAAATAAATAAATCTTTAAAGGAAAATACAACCTTATTTTCATCTTTTAAAGAGAGGCACTGCTGTTTCTTTTCAGATTTCTTTTTAGGTGAATCTCTCAATGAATCCATATTACAATTCACATCTTTATCTGAAAAAGAAAAACAGTGATAAAAAAGCTACTTTGAAAGGTGTTATTGATAGAAAGGATACCAAAAAATTAATAAAAATAAACACCATTATGAAATCTTAATACAGGAAAATACAAAATAGGACTTTACATGGAATTTAAAATCTTGTGTCACAATACCAGATTTCAGGACATACTACAGGGCAGTTGTAATCAAAACAGCATGGTACTGGTACAGAAACAGACGGATAGACCAATGGAACAGAATTGAAACACCAGAAATCAACCCAAACATCTACAGCCAACTTATATTTGATCAAGGATCTAAAACCAATTCCTGGAGCAAGGACAGTCTATTCACTAAATGGTGCTGGGAAAACTGGATTTCCACATGCAGAAGCATGAAGCAAGACCCCTACCTTACACCTTACACAAAAATCCACTCAACATGGATTAAAGACCTAAATCTACGACCTGACACCATCAAGTTATTAGAGAACATTGGAGAAACCCTTCAAGATATTGGCACAAGCAAAGAGTTTCTGGAAAAGACCCGGGAGGCACAGGCAGTCAAAGCCAAAATCAACTATTGGGATTGCATCAAATTGAGAAATTTCTGTACTGCAAAAGAAACAGTCAGGAGAGTGAAGAGACAACCGACAGAATGGGAAAAAATATTTGCAAACTATGCAACAGATAAAGGGTTAATAACCAGAATCTACAAAGAGATCAAGAAACTCCACAACAACAAAACCAACAACCCACTTAAGAGATGGGCCAAGGACCTCAATAGACATTTTTCAAAAGAGGACATCCAAATGGCCAACAGGCACATGAAAAAATGTTCAAGGTCACTAGCAATCAGGGAAATGCAAATCAAAACCACAATGAGGTTTCACCTCACCCCAGTTAGAATGGCTCACATACAGAAATCTACCAACAACAGATGCTGGCGAGGATGTGGGGAAAAAGGGACACTAACCCACTGTTGGTGGGAATGCAAACTGGTCAAGCCACTATGGAAGTCAGTCTGGAGATTCCTCAGAAACCTGAAGATAACCCTACTGTTCGACCCAGCCATCCCACTCCTTGGAATTTACCCAGAGGAATTTAAATTGGCAAACAAAAAAGCAGTCTGCACCCTAATGTTTATTGCAGATCAATTCACAATAGCCAAGACCTGGAACCAACCTAAATGCCCATCAATGGTAGACTGGATAAAGAAATTATGGGATATGCACTCTTTAGAATACTATACTGCAGTAAAAAACAATGAAATTCGGTCCTTTGCAACAAAATGGAGGAATCTGGAACACATCATGCTGAGTGAAATAAGCCAGTCCCAAAGGGACAAATATCATATGTTCTCCCTGATCAGTGACAACTGACTGAACACCAAAAAGGAAACCTCCTGAAGTGAAATGGACACTATGAGAAACGGTGACTTGATCAGCATAGCCCTGACTGTTAATGAACAACTTAATACGTTATCCCTCTTAGTATTTTTTTGTCTGTTCTACTTAATATGACTGGTTTAATTCTGTAATTAATACACAGTTATTCTTAAGTGTTGAAATTTAACTGAAATGTGATCCCTGTTAAATATAAGAGTGGGAATAAGAGAGGGAAGAGATGTACAATTTGGGACATGCTCAAGCTGACTTGCCCCAAATGGTAGAGTTAGAAACATACCAGGGGATTCCAATTCAATCCCATCAAGGTGGCATGTACCAATGCCATCTCACTAGTTCAAGTGATCAATTTCAGTTCAATTGATCATAATGAAAGGACTAAGAGTCAAAGGGAGCACATAAACAAGTCTAGTACCTGCTAACACTAACCGATAGAATAAATAAAGGGGAGAGTGATCCAACATGGGAAGCGAGATACTCAGCAGACTCATAGAATGGCAGATGTCCTAAACAGCACTCTGGCCTCAGAATCAGCCCTAAAGGCATTCTGATCGGGCTGAAAAGCCCACGAGAGTATTTCAGGCATGGAAAGCCAAGACACTCTGGCAAAAAAAAAAAAAAAAAAAAAAAAAAAAAAAAAACAAACAAAACAAAAACCAAACCAAACCAAACCTAAATGAAAGATCTCTGTGAGTGAGATCCCAGTGGAAAGAACAGGTCTTCAAAGAAGGAGGTACCTTTCTCTGAAGGGAGGAGAGAACCTCCACTTTTGATTATGACCTTGTCTAAACAAGATAAGAGTCGGAGAACTCAAAAGGCTTCCATAGCCTTGGAAACTCATGACTGGAGCATAGGGAGATTACTGATGCCATAAACAGGAGTGTCAATTTGTAAAGTCAACAACAGGAGTCACTGTGCACTTACTCCTCATGTAGGATCTCTGTCCTTAATGAGACTTAATGCTATAACAAGTACTCAAACAGTATATTTAACTTTGTGTTTCTATGGGGGTGCAAACTGTTGAAATCTTTACTTAATGTATACTTTTTTTTTTTTTTTTTTTTTTTTTTTAATTTTTGACAGGCAGAGTGGACAGTGAGAGAGAGAGACAGAGAGAGAAAGGTCTTCCTTTGCCGTTGGTTCACCCTCCAATGGCCGCCGCTGCAGCCGGCGCACCGCGCTGATCCGATGGCAGGAGCCAGGATCCAGGTGCTTTTCCTGGTCTCCCATGGGGTGCAGGGCCCAAGCACCTGGGCCATCCTCCACTGCACTCCCTGGCCATAGCAGAGAGCTGGCCTGGAAGAGGGGCAACCGGGACAGAATCCGGCGCCCCAACCGGGACTAGAACCCGGTGTGCCGGCGCCGCAAGGCGGAGGATTAGCCTATTGAGCCACGGCGCCGGCCTACTTAATGTATACTAAACTGATCTGTAAAAAAAAAAAAAAAAGAAGAAATTATCAATTCCCAACTTGACTCTCACTGGGATGAAACATGACAATAGGTCTGATCTGATTTCATCATCATTTAAAAAATCATCTATTATTTTTCACTTTATGTTTCTGTGTGGGAGCAAACTGTTGAAATCTTTACTTAATGTATGCTAAACTGATCTTCTGTATATAAAGAGAATCGAAAATGAATCTTGATGTGAATGGAAGGGGAGAGGGAGTGGGAAAGGGGAGGGTTGCAGGTGGGAGGGACGTTATGGGGGGGAAGCCATTGTAATCCATAAGCTGTACTTTGGAAATTTATATTCATTAAATAAAAGTTAAAAAAAAATCTTGTGTCAACCCTGACTGTTAAGAAAAAGGTTCTAAAAATTCCCCTATCAGTTTAATGAAAAATGAAACATAATTTATTTTCCCAACTTAGCAGAGATCTTTTCCAAAGAAGGCAACAGTCTTATCTCCCAACACATAATTACAATGCGACTTTGACTCCCATAGCAAGATGGGATCTACGAGTATTTTACTTTCCCATGAACCTGAGTGGGTTCATCAAAGACATGGGAGTGATGCTGCATGACTCTAAGGCTAGATCACAACAAGACTTGCTCTCTTGGACACTCACTGTTGAAACCCAGCCACCAGGTTGGGAGGTGCCCAAGCAACACAAGGCTGCTACAGGTCAGACAACAGCCTCAGCTGAGGTTCCAGCCCAAAGCCAGCATCAACTGCCAGAACCTGACTACACAGTCTTCAGGTGAATCCCAGTGTTTGGTTACCATCAGCCTCTATGTCTTTCCAGCTGAGGCCCAAGACACTGAGAAACAGTGACAAACACTCCTGGGGGCCACTCTGAGGTCCTGATCACAGAATCCAGAGCATTATAAAATGGGGAGATTTGTTGTAACTGGAATACTGACTGTAAGTCAGTTTCAGCCAAGTTCAGGTTCACAACTATGCACATCACTTCTTTTAGGGGTACACGGAACAATAGATACCTGCACTACATGAGCTCTGAAGGACCCATTGTACCTTCTCTGCCCTACTCTTCCTCAAATACGACTCTAGTTCCTTGTCCTCTGATATACAGCCATCTCTCTGCTACACCAGCTCTGTCCTGTGCATCTCACTTTATCATGCAACAGACACAGAGGGCCATCGATCGCTGTAGTGCAGTGAGCTAAAGGCCCGGCCTGCAGTGCTAGCATCCCATATGGGCACCAGTTCTAGTCCAGGCTGCTCCTCTTCCAATTCAGCTCTCTGCTATGGCCTGGGAAAGCAGTACAAGATGGCACAAGTCCCTGGGCCCCTGCACCTGCATGGGAGATCAGAAAAAACTCCTGACTCCTGGCTTCAGCTCAGCTCAGCTCTGGCCATCACAGTCATTTGGGGAGTGAATCAGTGGATGGAAAATCTCTCTCTCTGGCTCTTCCTCTCTCTGTAACTCTTTCATAAATAAAATAAATCTTAAAAAAAAAAAAAGACACAGAAGCTACCAGAAAACAGGATGATGGGCACCTGCATTTGTCCTAGTGGTTATGAGACCCACATCCCACACAGGAGCACCTGGACTTGATTCCTGGCTACAGCTTCTCATTGCAGCTTCTTCCTAATGCAGACCCCAGAAGGCAGTGGGGATGTCTCAAGTAACTGGGTACCTGCCACCTACACGGGAGACCCTGGGTTGTGTTCCTGGTTCTCAGCTTCAGCCTGGCTCATCCTTGGCCACTGTGGGTGTTTGGGACGTAAGCTAGCAGATAGAAATTCTCTCTCCCTATACCTTAAAATAAATTTAAAAAAAATTTAAGATGAAAGTAAACAAGCTGAATCTGAATAACCCAGGAGGTATAAAAAATTCTAAAGCACTCTCTTTCAAATATCTTCATCATGGATTGGCGCTGTGGTGTAAAGCCACCACCTGCAGTGCTGGCATCCGATTTGGGCATCGGTTCAAGTCCTGGCTGCTCCACTTCTGATCCAGCTCTCTGCTATGGCCTGGGAAAGCAGAAGATAGTCCAAGTCTTTGAGCCCCTGCACCCATATGGGAGACCAGGAAGAGGCTCAGCTCCTGGAATTGCAGCCCTCTGGGGACTGAACCAGCAGATGGAACACCTGTCTCTCTCCCTCTGCCTCTCTGTAACTCTGCCTTTCAGATAAATAAATAAATCTTAAATAAATCTTCATCAGCTAAGCCTAAATCTGATTTTGAGAAGTGAAAACAATCATTTAGTGAATACTACAGATAATCAAGCTGGGTATTTACAGGTTGTAAAAATTGAGGCATGACTTCCAAGGAAGGGAATCCAACCCCACATCATCTCCTAGGAACCTCCAGAGGCAGTTCCAGCAGTGTTCACTCTAAGTACTAATAAGAAAACCAGCCATTAGACACTAAACTACTGAAACAAAGAGCTAACACGGCAATGTGAGCTGATACCGCATTCTGGTCTGATCCTTCTCTAAGGTACTGTGCAGGCCAGGCATGCGTAGCTGGGGTCTAGAATTACACTACCTGTTTGGGGGTGCAGCATCTCAGCTGAGAACACAAACTCCAATCTGGAGCTGGAGTAGAGGTAGTAGTTGAAATTCACAAAGAGAAAATGTCCACACAAGATCAGCCTTCAAACAAAAAGCACAAAGTAGTGCAGTGCCATCAATACATGGCAATCAAGAAACAAAGCGTGGGAAGGGAGATTCAGGCCTGAAATAAAATAACGGTCTGAAAGGATTTTTAAAAAGATGTAAAAGTCTGTAAAACTATTTAGAACACCAGCGAGAATAAGGAATAGTATTCATGGAACAAAACAGTTGGATATAAAAAGGCAGGCAAACAAAAAAAAATTAGGCAATAAAAAGTCTTTAAACTGAAAACTCAAAAGATAAATACTAGACTGGAAACAAAGAGGATGACATTCAAAAAATTAAGAAAACCTCTCAGAAATCAGTTCATTTAAAGTAAAAGTAAATACAAAATAGAAAAAAAGGAGCTTGGTGGGCACTTAACCTAGCAGTTGAGACACACACATCCATGTCAGCACACCTAGGTCACCTGGCTCTGGCTCTGGCTCCAGCCTCCTGCTAATGCTGACTCTGGGAGGCAGTGGTGACAGCTCCAGTAATCTGATTCCTGCCTCCCACTTAGAAGACTCGGATAGCATCCCAGGCTCCCAGCTTCAACCCCAGTCCAGCCCAGGCATTCTGGGATGTGAAACAGCAAATGCAAGTGTTCTCTCTGCCTCTCAAATAAATAATTTTTCAAAAGAAAAAAGAAGGCTAAGAGAAAAGGATGAGAGATGAAGAAACACTAATCTACAGAAGGAAAGGAGGAAAAAAAATCCGTCAAACATGTTACTAACATCAGGGCCACTGTGGCACAGCAGGCTAAGCTGCTGCCTGTGATGACAGCACTCCCTATGAGTGCCAGTTTGAGTCCCAGCTGCCCCACTTCTGATCCAGTTCCCTGCTAGTGCTCCTGGGAAAGCAGCTGACCATGGCCCAAGTACCTGGGCCCTTGAAAAACACATGAGACCCAGATGGAGCTCTGGGCTCCGGGCTTTGGCCTGGCCCAGGCCTGGCTACTGCAGCCATTTAGGGCATGAACCAGCAGATGAAGATGTCACTTGTTCTCTCTTCCTCTCTCTGTAACTCTGCCTTTTCAATAAATAATTTTTTTAAAAAAAGTTAACTTCTAATGACACCAAAAGAGACAGATATAAATATGTGTGTGTATGGACACACATACACATCAACTCCTGATTTTCTTTTTAAGATTTATTTATTTATTTAAAACAGTTAGAGAGAGACAGAGAGAGGTCTTCCATCCAATGGTTCACTCCCCAATTGGCCGCAATGGCCGGAGCTGCACCAATCTGAAGCCAGGAAACAGGAGCTTCTTCCAGGTTTCCCACATGGGTGCAGGGGCCCGAGGACTTTGGCCATCTTCTACTGCTATCCCAGACCATAGCAGAAGCTGGATCGGAAGTGGAGCAGCCGGGTCTTGAACCGGCGCCCATATGGGATGCTGGCGCTTCAGGCCAGGGCTTTAACCCGCTGTGTCACAGCGCCGGCCCCAACTCCTGATTTTCAATACATAGAAAAGATAATAGATGTACAGATGTACACACACGCCAAAGACATACATATCCTTGCTTCTGTCCACAGGAGTGCCTCAGAGCAATGGTACCCTAACAACCACACCTGGCTCCCAGATTTTGGCTGAAAAATGCCATTCCCTATGAAAGGAAGCCAGGGCAATTTAGAAGAGCTGCTGATTTCTGTTACAGATAGGAATCCACATTAATATGCTCATGAATACATGAGCAAATACAAGGGACAGAAGTCTTTACATGGTTTCCCAGCACCTGTCTGCAAAGCCCTCACAATGGGCAAGAGCACAGCTTTCAGTGGAGAAGCCCGGCGGGCTCCACCTTCCTCAGTGATACAGTGAACTCCATCAGGAACAGGGCCAAGGGAAACCCTGCGTCGTCTGGCAGGACGGGACGGGATGAACAGCCCAAGGCAAGGCTGAAGGACACGGCGCGCAGTCAGGTAAGGCATCAGGAAGGACCGGGGAACAGCTCCCGACGGCACAGCACTCAGGAGACGATCACTAAAGCAGTTCAGTGGCGCTAACCCGCATCCCTCCACTATCAGCAGAATCTGACTGGGGTCTGAGGGTTACAGGGTCACACGGGTGCCTGCTACCATTCCATTCCGCTTTTGATGGCTGTTGTGGATATTTGGGGGAATGTCCTTGTCTGATGAAGAAACACTCAGGTATTAGGGAACGATGGACATTAAGGCAGCAACTTTTTTTTTAGTGGTTTTGGGAAAAACACTCTTTACAATGTTCTCCAACTTTTTAGAATGTCTGGGATTATTCTAAAAATACTTCTACTGAGAAGATGGATGCAAACTCCGCAGAAGCAGATGAATCGCCAGAATAGCACCTGACTTAGAGTAAGTGCTTCATAAAGGTCTTTAGAAGGAATGACTGTGGACAGGGGTACGGGAGCTCATCTGTCACAGAAATCATGACCATGTCTACAGCTGACAAGCCTCAAAACAGTAAAAAATACACATATGTAATTATTTTTAAAGTTCAGAATTAAATATCAAAATAAAGAGCTTTAAAATAAAAAGGTTTATGTCTGGGGAGCAACCTAGGATGAGACAAGTATGAACAGGAGGGGCCAGTGCTATGGCGCAGTGGGTTAAAGCCCTGCCCTGAAGCACCAGCATCCCATATGGGCGCCGGTTCTAGTCCTGGCTGCTCCTCTTCCAATCCAGCTCTCTGTTATGGCCTGGGATATCAGAAGATGGCCCAAGTGCTTGGGCCCCTGCACCCACGTGGGAAACCTGGAAGAAGCTCCTGGCTCTTGGCTTTGGATTGGCGTAGCTCTAGCCATTGCGGCCATCTGGAGAGTGAACGAGTGGATGGAAGACCTCTCTGTCTGTAACTCTGTCTTTCAAATAAAAAAAAAAATAAATCTTCCAAAAAAAAAAGTATGAACAGGAGAAAATCACTTTCCATGACAGCCATTTTATGCTATTTATTTGACCAACCATTAGCAAAGCATTACTCTTTGGTTTTAAAAAATATATGTAATGTAGAATGGGCATTTGGCCTAGCAACTGACGTTCATGTTTCATATTGTGGTGCCTAGGTTCAATGCCTGACTTAGGCTCCCGACTCCAGCTTCCTGCTAATGCAGACCCTGAGAGACAGCAGCGATGGCTTTAGTGATCAGGGTCCTGCTACACATGTCAGAGACTTGGACTGAGTTCCTGGCTCCTGACTTCAGCACCCCCCAACCTGGCCCTGGGCTGTTACAGGCACATGGAGACAACACATGGGGGCAAGCTCTCTCCCTTCCTGCCCTTTCTGTCTCTCAAATAACTTAATTTTTAAAAATTAAAATAAAATTATATAAGGCAATTTCAAAGAGAAATAGCAAAAATTAATTGAAATACAGTTAAAATAGCTTTTTACAAGGATTAAAGGAAAATAATTACATGCATAAACAACATCTAACAATTTTGCTTTTTTACATAACCATCTAGTCATACTTCACATCAGCTTTTGTTGGTTCACTATAACATTTTCCTTTTCAAAGATATGCATGAGAGGCCAGCATTATGGCACAGCAGATTAAGCAGCCACTTGTAAGGTATGAACCATGTATATTTTTTAAAAAGATTTATTTATTTATTCGAAAGGGAGAGAGAGAGAGAGGTTTTCCACTTGCTAGTTCAGTTCCCAAATGGCCACAACATCTGAGACTTGCCCAGGCTGAAGCCAGGAGCCTGTAACTCCATCTGCGTCTCCCATGTGGGTACAGGGGCCCACATACTTGGGTCATCTTCTGATTCCACAGTTTTCCAAGGTACATTAGCAGGGAACTGGATCTAAAGCAAAGGAACAGGATTCAAACAAGCGCTACGACACAAGATGTGCGCGTTGCAAGTGGCTGCACATTTCATTCTACCTTTCAAATAGATTAATAAAAACTTTAAAAAAAAAAAAAAGAAAGAAGCCAACAGATTTCACCCTGGTGCAACATTCTAATTAATCAAATATCTACACAAGATATGAAATCAAAGACTGGTGATCTCTGCCCTCCTCAGTGTGTCTTCCTTGCCTGTACAAGCTTGATTGCTTGAAAGAAAACTCAGCCACAAAAGCATATGTACAGCCTGAGAACACACCACTGGCCTAGGCCAGGCTGAGAAAAATCCGTACCACACACAGACAAGCTCTAAGGATGCACCATAGGGCCAGTTACCACTGACAGCACCTATGTCACAAACTGGCTCCACTAGAGAGCAAGCGAGCGAGCAAGCGCGAGAGCGCGAGAAGCTACCACAGCCCCTCTAAACAACCTTCATAAGCTTTAGACAGATAAGAGTATTCTCTTACTCTGCCTATGAAATAAGCCGAAGTAGTAGAACTCACCCAGCACTGCAGCAGTTGGCTCCAGGTCACCAACAACATCCTTGCACCTCGTATGCTGCAGAGAATGTGTCAGCAAATTTAAACCATGAGAATCTGATCAAAAGAACAAATTTTAGGATTAAAGCTTGAAATAAAACTCCAAATTACATGATTTCTGTTCTTATTGGTGCTTTAAAGAACAAAATACCTGGGTGGGGACAGGAATGTGAGTGACATTTAAAACATCATTTCCACAGTCTACAACTGCCCCTTCTTCATACCTTATAGAAAAATACATTTTAAATAAATAACTCTTTAAAAAAGATTTATTTGAGAGGTAGAATTACAGACAGAAGAAGAGACAGAGAAAAGTCTTCCATCTGCTGGTTCACTCTGCAAATGGCTCCAACAGCCAGAGCTGGGCCGATCCGAAGCCAGGAACCAGGAGGCTTTTCCGAGTTTCCCACATGGGTGCAGGGGCCCAAACAACTGGGCCATCTTGTGCTGCCTTCTCATATGCATTAGCAGGAAGCTGGGTCACCAAGACTTGAATTGGCACTCTGTGTCACAAGCAGCCACTCAACCCACTCCACTACACCACAACACTGCCCCCAGTTTTAGACGTTTTGTTTATTTGAAAGGCAGAGTACAGGGGACAAAGAGAGACAAAGAGAGAGATCTTCTATCTGTTGACTCACTATCCAAAGGATATTCCTTTTGCTGATTTAAAGTCACTGAAAAGTGGATTTTCCTCAAATTGAGTTTCACAGCTAAAACAGATTGCAATTTCGAGGTTGCAATTTCCTTAGAACTGATGAATATTTGAGCAAAGTTAAAGATGTTCATCTAATAAATTGATTGCTGTGAGGTACAGGCTAAGACTGCCATCCACATGGGAGACCCTGATGGAGTTCCAGGTTCCTGATTTTGGCCCGGCCCAGCTCTGATTGTTGTGGCCATTTGGGAAGTGAACCAGTGAATGGAAGATCTCTTTACTTTTTATTTACTTTTTTAAGATTTATTTTATTTATTTGAAAGAGTTACACAGAGAGAGAAGGAGAGGCAGAGAGAGAGAGAGGCCTTCCAATCGCTGGCTCACTCCCCAAATGGCAGCAATGGCTGGAGCTGTGCTATCCGAATGAAGCCAGGAGCCTCCTCCGGGTCTTCCCACGTGGGTGCAGGGGCCCAAGGACTTGGGCCATCCTCTACTGCTTTCCCAGGCCACAGCAGAGAGCTGGATTGGAAGAGGAGCTGCCGGGACTTGAACTGGCACCCATATGGGATGCTGGCACTGCAGGTGGCGGCTTTACTCACTACACCACAGCGCCGGCCCCAGAAGATCTTTTTCAACTCTCCTTCTCCATCACTCTGCCTTTCAAATAAATAAATATTTTTTTTAAAGTGTGTTTAAAACTTATTCAAAAACTTACTTTGCAAATAACTTTAAGCTGCAGACATCTGGACTTCTGAAAACATAATGTTAACAAGAAACCAGAATTGTTTCGTCCTGGTCTCACGTAAACAAACTGTAGCAGTTTCAGGACCTTAAAACCTATCTCAGACTCATCAGGATTAAACTTTAAACAGTCCAAGTCTTTGTCTCCACATGGGGAAAAGTTGGCACAATAACTCCTATCAATACAGTAAGGTCGTGAACAATCTGAGAGAAATACAAGTTGGTCAGAGAATTCACTCACCTTCCATTCTTTGGAAATATTTTCCTTGCAAAAACATTGGCCAAAGAGTAAGAGCTGGGTTGAGTTTCTTGGAGGAGGCTGAGTTCATATTTAATCTTGGTTTCTCTACAGAATCCAGCTGCTGCTTCTCCATGGGTGACACATAACAAGCAAAATTCTTTGCAACCAGGTCGTCATTAACACAAACCTGCAGATGCGACACATTTCATGAAGGGTAAGACAGGATGGTCACATGACTGAAGAAAGCATTTCAGACTCAACTCAAGAGGACTTTACAGAACACAACATGGTAAAAGCTGATCTCAGGACTTCTGTTGTGGTAATGGTGAACTGAATACTTCTCACCGATCCTCCTGCTAAGAAAACAGCAATGATCTGTGTGAAATACAATCCTCGAAAAGGCACTAGAGAACCAACACCACCCAGCCAGGCAGAGATCTGGTGGGAAAACAAGGACAAAGCATTAACCATAAAAGGAAGACTGACAAATGAGATTTGATCAAACCGAAAACTCTGCTCTTCCAAAGACAGTGACAAGATGGGGCAAAACATTTTAAAGCCAGGTGCCTGAATAGACATGTACCTAGAATAAATACAGAGAGAACATGTATCTCTCTTGAAACTCAATGAAAAGAGAACTACCCAATTAAAAACGGGCAAAAGGTCTCAATGTCACTGAAGACGACAGAGGATGGCAAAAAAGGATGTGAAAACATTTTTTGTTTTTGGGGAAAGGCAAACTTAAACCACCGGGAGCCACCACTACTCATCTTTCAGAACAAGCACAGAGCATCAGAAAGGAAGTGGAGAGGGGCAGTCGTCGCTGTGCAGTGGATTAAGCACTGTGGCATCCTGTATCAGAGTGCCAGCTCAAGTCCTGGCTCCTCCGCTTCCAAACCAGCTTCCTGCTAATGTGCCGGGGAAGGCAGCAGAGGATGACCCTCATGTCCCTGCCACCCATGTAAGAGACCTGGACAAAGTTCCAGGTTGCTGGCATCAGCTTGGCCCAGTCCTGACTGTTGTAACCATTTGGTGGAGTGAATCAGTGGAGGATCTCTCTCCCTCTCTACTACTCTTCCTCTCAAATACATAAATAAATCTCCTCCTCCTCCCTCTTTCATTACCAGTCCCATTCTCCACTGAAATCCAGTTTGATTAACTTTATGCACAGAAGATCAACTCTGTATTAAGTAAAGAGTTCAACAATTGGAACAACCACAACAAAACAAAAACTGTTCCTCAACAGTCCAGACAAGGGCTTTTTCAAAGTCTTCGTATCTTGAAGTTAATTTCATTTTATTTTTAGAAATTTAGTAACTTTAAAAAAGCACCCAAGAATGATATGTCTCTTGTGAGCACTCAGACATAATTATAACTCTTTGAGGACAGAGGTCCTGCATGGGAAGTTAGTGCACAGTGATTCCTGTAGTTAATTTAACAATTAACACTCTTATGTATAACATCAGTGATCACCCAAGGCTCTTGACATGAGCTGCCTAGGCTTTGGAGCCTGTTGAATCCACAAACTCCATCAGTATTTAGACAAGGCCATCAGCAAAGGAGTTCTCTCCTCCCTTCATAGAAAAGTACCTCTTTCTTTGATAACTACTTCTTTCCACTGGGATCTGACCTACCGAGGTCCTTCACGTAGGACATTTTTGCCACAGTGTCTCGGCTTTCCATGCCTGAAATGCTCCTGTGGGCTTTTCAGCCAGACCAGAATGCCTTAAAGGCTGATTCTGAGGTCAGAATGCTACTTAAAGTGACTGTCATTCAATCAGTCTGCTGTGTGGACTGCTTCTCATGTTGGAGCATTTACTCCTTATTAATTTCATCTATTATTATTACGAGACAGTTAAATTGTATCCAATCACTTTAACATTTAAGATGGTATTTTTATCACCAAGCTTAAGGGGATTTGGGGTCCCATGGCAAGTTTTTAAACTGTACCCTTAGAAGTAAGCTTAGGAGCTGATCTTCTGTATAATAAGATAATCGAAAATGAATCTTGATGTGAATGGAAGGGGAGAGGGAGTGGGAAAGGGGAGGGTTGTGGGTGGGAGGGACGGTATGGGGGGGAAAGCCATTGTAACCCACGAGTCGTACTTTGGAAATTTATATTCATTAAATAAAAGATAAAAAAAAAAAGTAAGCTTAGGGCCGGCGCCGTGGCTCAATAGGCTAATCTTCCGCCTAGTGGCACCGGCACACCAGGTTCTAGTCCCGGTCGGGGCGCTAGATTCTGTCCCGGTTGCCCCTCTTCCAGGCCAGATCTCTGCTGTGGCCAGGGAGTGCAGTGGAGGATGGCCCAAGTGCTTGGGCCCTGCACCAGCATAGGAGACCAGGAGAAGCACCTGGCTCCTGCCTTCGGATCAGCGCGATGCGCCAGCCACAGCGGCCATTGGAGGGTGAACCAACGGCGAAAGGAAGACCTTTCTCTCTGTCTCTCTCTCTCTCACTGTCCACTCTGCCTGTCCAAAAAAAAAAAAAAAAAAAGTAAGCTTAGGGGCTGGCGATGTGGCATAGGAGGTAAAGTTGTGGCCCACAGTGTGGGCATCCTATATGAGCACTGGTTTGAGTCCCTGCTGCTCCACTTCTGATCCAGCTCTCTGCTATGGCCTGGGATAGCAGTGGAAGATGGCTCAAGTCTTTGGGCCCCTGCAACCATGTGGGAGACCTGCAAGAAGCTCCTGGCTTCAGATCAGTTCAGTTCCAGCCATTGTGGCCATCTGGGGAGTGAACCAGCAGATGTAAGACACTCTCTCTCTCTCTGCCTGTCAATTACACTTCAACTGATTGTCTTTTAGGTGCTTTGTTAATTATCACAGATCAGGGAGGGGGGGGAGAGGGAGGAGGGAGGAGGGAGTCTTCCATCTGCTGGAGGGAGGAGGGAGGAGAGAGGAGGGAGGAGGGAGTCTTCCATCTGCTGATTCACTCCCCAATTGGTCACAATGGCCAGAGCTGTGCTGATCCACTCCCCAATTGGTCACAATGGCCAGAGCTGTGCTGATCCACTCCCCAGTTGGCTGCAATGGCCAGAGCTGTGCCAATCTGAAGCCAGGAGCCAGAAGCTTCTTTAGGGTCTCCCACGTGGGTGCAGGAGCCCAAATACTTGGTCCACTTTCTGCTGCTTTCCCAAGCCATGGCAGAGAGCTGGATCAGAATTGGAGCAGCTGGGACTGAACCAGCACTCACATGGGATGCAGGCATTGCTGGCGGCAGCTTTACATGCTACAGCACAGCGATGGCCCCTCCAGAAATTTTTTTTTTATTTCTCTTTCTGGATTTCTTCAATGACCCACTGTTCATTCAGGAGCATGCTGTTCAGTCTCCATGTGTTTGCATATGTTCTAGAGATTTCTGAGTTGCTGATTTACAGCTTTTCTGCATTGTGGTCTGAGAAGATGCATGATATGATTTCAATGTTTTTCAATTTGCTGACTTGCTTTATGGCCTAGCATGTGGTCAATCCTGGAGAAAGTTCATGCACTGGTGAGAATAATGTGTATTCTGCAACTGTAGGTTGAAAAGATCTATGGGTATCTGTTAGTTCCACTTGGTCTATATTGTCAATTAACTGTTTCCTTGCTGATTTTCTGTCTGGTGATCTGTCCATTGCTGAAAGGGAGTTTTGAAGTCCCTCATTATTACTGTATTGTCTCCTTTTAGATTCCTTAACATTTTTTTTAAATAGCAATGGCCCTGTAATTAGGTGCATATATGTTTTTAACAGTTCATCTTCCTGTTTAATTGATCCCTTAATCATTACATAGGGACCTTCTTTGTCTCCTAGCAGCTTCTGTGTTAAATTCTATTTTGTCAGATGTTAGGATGGCTATACCAGCTCTTTTGTGGTTCTGTTAGCATGGAATATCTTTTTCCAATCTTTCACTTTCAGTTCACATGCATCCTTGTTGGTGAAATGTGTTTCTTGTAGGCAACAAATACAAAACATTCTGCCAATCTGTGCCCTTTAACTGAAGAGTTGAGTCCATTTACATTCAAAGTGACTATTGATAAGCAAAAATTTCACCCTGCCATTTTCCCATAAATACTCCTATTGTTTCCTTTGGATTTCCTTTGTATTTTTACTGAAAGATTTTCTGCCTTCATCTTCTTTCACAGTTATACCCATGTTTCTGTGTTTCTGTGTGTAGCACATCTTTAAGCATCTTTTGCAAAGCTGGACAGGTGGTGACAAATTCTTTCAATTTCTGTTATGGAAGGTCTTTATTTCACCTTCATTTTAAATGACAGCTTTGCAGGGTACAGTATTATGGGTTGACAGTTTTTTTTTCCTCTTAAGCCTTGGAATTTATCTCATCATTTCTCTCCTAGCCTGTAGGGTTTCTGATGGTAAGGTTGCTGTGAGTCTAATTGGAGATCCTCTGAAATTTCTCTCATGTACATTTTACAATCTTTTCCTTATGTTTTACTTGGGAGAGTTTGATTACAATGTGTCATGGTGAAGATCTTTTCTGGTCATGTCTAATTAGCTCTATGTGCTTCCTGTACTTGGATGTCCCTTTCTCCAAATTGGGGATGTTTTCTGTTATTATTTCACCAAAAAGGCCTTCTAATCCTTTCTCTTTTTCCACACCTTCAGGAACTCCTAGAACCCATATGTTGGGTCATTTGATAGGATCCTTAAGATTCCCAACAATGCTTTTTAGTTTTCCAATTTCTTCTCACTTTTGACATGACTGTATAATTTCCTGCAATTTGTCTTCTAAAGTCAGATATTCTTTCTTCTGCTTCATCGATTCTGTTGTTAAGGCTTTCCACTGCATTTTTTATTTGTTCATTCAATTCTTTATTTCCAAAATTTCATCTTGCTTTAAGATCTCAATTTCGTGGGATAAATATTCTTTCACATCATGTATGGATTTCATTAGTTCGTGCATTTGCTTCTGATAACTTCTAAGTAATCCTACGATCAATTTTTTTTAATTCTCTTTCTGGCATTTCTTCAATCTCTTCATCTTCACAATCTAGTATTGAAGTGTTATGATCTTCTGAGGGCATCATGTTGTCTTCCTTATTCTTGTTTCTTGAATTGGTGCATTTATTTGGCATTTCTTAAGATTAACTCATTGATTTCTTCGTTTTTAGCTGTGGTGGCTTTTATCTTTGGACTATGCCTCTGTGGATTAGTGGAGTATTTTTTTCAGCAGATACCTAGAGGCA